CATATCTGGGATGGTCTTGTTCCTCTGTCCATGGCAGGTTCAGTCAATCAGCTGTGGGACATCTGCTGCCTAGTCAAACTATCATGGGCCTCTTGATTTAAAAGGAGAAACCAGTACAGAGCCTCCCTGCTCCTGCAAGTCACACTTCTTGGATGAACACTCAATACTGCAAGCAGCTGTTAGAAATGAAATCTTTGTGTATCTATTCTGTAATTAACATCTATATGTATCTATTAATAAATGAATTGATGTTGTGTAGAGTTCTGTAAAAACTATTGTAAATAGCTTCTCTTGAGTAATCTACATATGTGCAACTTTTACATTTAAATTGCTTCTTTTTGTAAATTTTACACATCTGGCAACAAAGTATGTGGAGGAGAGGAAATGCTAAATTAAAGCTGCTATTGCGGACCAAATACATAAGTTTTGTAGCTGTTTCTTTAAAACATATATTTAATAATTATATTAAACACTACATGGTTACTACATTACACAAACATAATTACCACAGTTAACAATTTAAGTCATTGATAGAGAAAATGTATTTACAAAAGGCATATCAATTTTATTTCAACAGTATGTACTCAGGGTTTACAACTTAAGACATCCATGTAGGGTCCTTGGCGGGTGCCAGTCTGCAGTGAACTGGTGGATGACAGAGGCAGTGGTAAACTGTAGTGAGCAGTTTGAAGCAGAAGTCCCACCATGTGATCCACAGGGTTTTCCCACCTCAGCACAAACTTCATGCACTTTGTTTCCACAGGCACCACAGCAGAATCAAGTGTAACCTGTTAAAAGGGATATAAAGGTGTTATTCCTATGTTATCAATTTTCTACTGCCAAGTCTACAACCACAGGAAAACAAAGTATAAGAAACTTAACCTTCTAATCATAACATTTGATAAATATTCATTGGAGAAATGTGAAGTTAATGAGCTAATACATATATATATATATCGAGAGAGAGATCATCACATTTCTCCAATGAAACGTTAATATCTATCTATCTATAACAGCATCTTCCTCCTCATGTCTTGATCGTAGCAGGAGTTTAACTTCTCAGGACGTGATGGAGCAGTGGGTGTTTGGCATAACTGTCAAGTTTTGGACTTGTGGCTACAGGTAATGTCGCTACTTAGCAGGTGGTCAAACTAGCGTAAGTGAGGAGGGTTTAAATACGATCATGCATTTTACGTGACGGGTGGCAACCCCAGTCTATACTATAAAAATCTGATTAAGATTAGAGCCTAAATACATTTTATTTCCAAAACAGAAAGGCTATGTAATGCTAGCCAGCTAACAAATTACTATTGCTATCCTAGCATATCAACTAACAGCCAGAAAAAACCAAAACATGTACCTTCGTAGTCAAACTGGTATCATTCAGAGAGGAATTTGTCCAGTTTAGATTATGTTGATGAAGAAAAATTGTCTGCAAATAGTGATATATCTTTAAATCGTATTTGTGGCAGCTGCTTTAGAGTCCAGAAACACCGTTAACTCCACACACCGGAACTAAAGATACACTGGATCGAGTCAAAACGGATGTTGTCTGACGTCATGTGAAAAGGGTCTATT